GCTGGATGAAAGGATGGCCTGGGTGGTCTTAATAGTGACGAATGTGAAAAAATGGCATCCCTAAAAATCAAATTGGCTTCCATTATAAATGCGGAGGAGAGTTCTTGGAGACAAAAATCAAGAGAGAAATGGCTTAAGGATGGGGATTGAAATACGAAATACTTCCACGCATTAGCTTCGCATAGAAGGCAATGCAATTATTTGGAAGACATCTGGGTGGAAGGGAATAAAATTTTAGGTAACGATTAAATGAGGGAAGCTGCAAAATGCTTTTTTACCACGTACTCAGAAGAATTTTGTTTGAGGCCTAAGCTTGTGGGTTTACAGTTCAATAGAATTTCTGAGACAAGTAATCAGTTGCTAGAGCTGTTTTTACAGAGGAGGAAGTTAGTGAATGTTTGAAAATCTGTAATGGCAATAAAGCACCGGGTTCGGATGGGTTCACGATGAAATTCTTGCAAGAATTTTGGTATTTGTTTAAAAGATGATGTAATGGAGTTTCTTAGGGATTTTCTCAAATCTGGAAAATTTGTCAAATCCCTAAATACTACTTTCCTGGCCCTAATACCAAAAAAGAGAGGTGCTAAAGAGTTTAATGAGTTCAGGCCAATAAGTCTAGTAGGTTGCATTTACAAACTCATTGCTAAAGTCTTAGCCAAAAGACTCCCAGAGGTCCTTGGGTAGGTAATTGGGGACTGCCAGCATGCTTTTTGTGGAAGACCGTCAAATTTTGGAGGCATTGGTGGCTGCAAACGAGGTGGCAGATGATCTGATTGCAAGGAAAAGGATTGGATTATTCTGTAAACTCGATATGGAAAAGACCTATGATCACGTTTGTTGGGATTTCGTTGACCACATGCTGAATAAATGGGTTTTGGCTCAAAATGGAGAGGCTGGATGAAATATTGTATGTCTACTGCTTCATTTGCAGTTCTTGTAAATGGTGGACCTTCTGAATTTTTCTCTGCCTCTAAGGGACTTCGACAAGGCGACCCGCTATCCCCACTATTATTTATCATTGTCATGGAGGGTTTAAATGGTTTTATTTGTAAGGCCAAGAAATTACAGCTGTTAAAGGGTGTTTCAGTTGGCAGAAGAAATAGTTCCATTGATGTCTCTCATTTGTTTTTTGCTGACGATACCCTGATTTTTTATCAACCTGATGTCAGTAATCACATTTGAGATGTACATTACTCTGCTTCCAAGCTGTCTGGGTTAAAGGTTAATTTCGCAAAATCTGAGCTGGCCAGGATTGGTGATGATGGAGACAGCAGCATGTTTGCTGAATTACTGGGTTGTAAAGCTGTAAATCTCCCTTTGAAATATCTTGGGGTCCCTTTGGATGCAAAGTATAAAAAAAAAATCACTTGGGATCCTGTTATTGAGCTATTCGAGAGGAGACTCACGGGTTGGAAATGTAATTTTTTGTCAAAAGATGGAAGGCTTATTTTGATCAAAAGTACATTGGTCAATCTTCCTATCTACTATTTTTCCACTCTTACAATTCCAGTTAACATTGCAAAACAGGTAGAAACAATTCAATGTCGATTCCTTTGGAGCGATGAGTTAGACAATCAGAAGTATCATTTGGTGAAATGGGATAAAATTAAAAAACCAACGGCTAGTAGTGGACTGGGCTTAAGATCTATTGTTAGTTTGAATGTAGTCCTACAAGGGAAATGGTTATAGAAATTTTTGGTGGATGGTAATAGATTATGGAAGAGTATAGTTGGTGCAAGATGGGGAGAATTCTCTACTGCAGATTTGCCTTCTGGCAGAAGCATAACTCACACCAGCAGACCGCACGACAGAGGTCTTTGGAAGAAAATCCTACTGCAGTGGCCAAAATTCAGGCAATGCATAAAATGACAACTTGGTAATGGTTGCAAAATCTGCTTCTGGCTTGATGTTTGGATTGTGACTGATTCTCTTATGGTGAAATTCCCAAGAATTTATGAGATTGCCCAATCGAACATATGCTGGTTAGTGAAGCTTATCGAATGAACAACAATTGAATGACTGGTTAATGTTTCAAGAAACCTAAATGAATGGGAAATAAATGAGTATGCTGAATTATTAGCATTTTTGGAGGCCCAGGAAATAAAAGATTGTGAGGACAAGGTGGTGTAGAAGCTGGAAAAGAGTGGTAATTTTTCAGTGGGTTCATATTCAAGACAGCTGGTGGGTGACAATGAGGAGGTTTTACCTAACTTCCCGACTAAACAGATCTGAAATGCGTGGGTGACTCCGAGAATTGCTTTTTTCGTATGGGAAGCCTGCAGAGAAAGTATACTCACCATTGATAAGCTCAGGAAAAAGGGTCATACCATAGTAAATTGTTGTTACCTCTGTTTGAGAGTGGAAGAGGAGTCTTGTAATCACTTACTTCTTTGGTGTCCAGTGACATACGAACTTTGGAGCATGATCTATGGACTTTTGGGAATTAATTGGGTAATTTTTAGAACTGTCCGCGGGGAGTTATGGGATTGGGCAGGGATAGGTGTCAACAGGAAAGTAGAAAATTTAATTCCTTTGACCATTTTTTGGGTTGTTTAGAAAGAGAGGAATATTAAAACCTTTGAAGGTATAAACTTGGACTTGCATAAATTAAGAGATAACTGGTTTCATTATTTTGGGACTAGTTTGTTAAATCATGACATTATTAGTGATGAAGATTTTGAGAATATCATTGATTCTCTAATTACATTGTAAAGTTACACATGGACGGTACCTCTTTTTAGTACCATGTTAATATAAACCTTACACTTTTTATTTCAAAAAAAGGTTTGCCATTAACCATAATAACAAAGGCCACGGAACAGGGACAACCTGAAATCCACAACTTTATCTAAAAGCTTCAGTTCACTTGACCATGGACTTTCTCAAAATCCAATTTGAACACCAAGCTTTATTTCTTCACCTCCACCTTAATACACCACCTCATTAGCAATAAGAGAGGTGTTAAGAATCTGCCGACCTCTGAAAGAAGCACTTTGGTTGTAATTACAATACAATCTTATTTGATCCTCACTAAATTCTTATCCCATCCAATGAACTAAACCAGCCATAAGGGGGGTGCTAATGATCCGAAGGAAAATAATGCCAACTGATAATGCACTATGTATTTTGTCAACTTCAAGTTGTATGGTACTGAAATAATTCAATCAATTAAGGAACCATCTTTATTGTTCTTCACAGACTTAATGTGAATGTGTTATTTGAGGGAAATGAGAAATTTTGATTTAGCACATGATCCTATATATTTATGTTCAAACCTGCAAAACCTTTCATATCTATGTCGATATAATATTTGGTACGATTTAAGGCAATTGGTATCTTCTGATGTGATGTTTGTGGTATGTGTAGCTGCTCTTGTTTTATCCAACTATGCACGTGCATTGTTTTAATGCAGGCCTATTTTGCAGGCATATAATTTGTCCAAAGATCATAAGCCTGATTTAGAGGCTGAGAAGGACAGGATTTTGAAGGCTGGTGGTTTTATCCTAGTTGGCCGTGTTAATGGAAGTTTAAACATGGCAAGGGCAATTGGTAGTTGGATTTTTATGTCATAACACTCACTGAAAATTGATGGATGGATTTTTCTTTATTAAAGAGGATTTCCTATTCTTGTGCTATCAAATGTTTCTTTGTCGCAGGAGATGCGGAGTTCAAGCAAAATCAAACTTTGCCAGCTGAAAAACAGATTGTAACTGCCAATCCTGACATTAATACTGTATGTAAGAATCTTATTTGCTTTTGAATTGTACTCTGGGTGTAGATTTGCTGGATCATGCTTTTGGCAAGTGATTTTGGAATAGCTCTGCACACACACAGATGTTTAATCAATTTTCTTAGAGGGTGTTTGAGATTGCTAACACAAATATGCTTAAAGTAATAGCAACTTAAAGGGTTTGGATGTTGATTTGTAAAATAAACAGCTACAATGTTTAGGTAAAAGTGATTAAAGAGCATCACTTACTAAATTTTGGCGAAACAAAATAAACATACAGAGATTAGTAGATAAGTCCCCAAATTGAAAAAAAGCAGCAGTTTCAAGTTCATACAGAAAAAAAGCAGTTATTTGGATAATGGTAAGTATGCAGTCATCATATTGAAGTGTTTATGCTGCGTTTGGTTAAGTCTAGTTTGCTCCTATTCGATTATTAGATCTTAATTATTATATATATGTTGTTATGTTTGTTATTTAAAAAAAATATATATATATGTTATTGAGTTTGGTTCAAGTATGTATATATATATTGCTTAATTATAATTTATATATATGATGAATAATTAAATCTAGCTCTGCTCATATTTTTAGTTTCACAACATGATAAGTTTGTATTCTCACTTATCTATGAAGAACTGTAAAAACAACTGACTTCAATTAGAAATTAGGTTGACTGGAAATTAGAATTTCATTTTCATTAAAAGTTCTATTCCCTTTATATTGTGTTTCTTCTTCTATTCCATGAAATTCAAATTTGAACCAAACTACCTTATGTTACTTTGTAAATATTTTGTGTTATTCTCAAAAATTACTTTATAAATAAATGGTTAGATCTTTTGATAAGATTGCTTTTTTTCGTTTTTGTAAAGATAAGAGCTTATTCATCTTGGCAAAGAAAAACATATGGGGATAAATAGATGAATCATAGTCTTTAAGAAATAAGCTTTTCCAGTTACATACACAAGAAATCACAAAATGTTAGGGTGGGGATGTTTATTTTTTCTGCAGAGAAGTTATGAGAACCTAACAAGCATGCTTAGTTACTCTGCTTTGTAGGTATTATAAGCAGATTATAAGTACAATGAAATACATGGTTCTGGACATGCATTTCTTATGAATACAAGATACTTTTTCTGGCTTTGGAAATTGCGAGATTTCTTATTCTGATAATTCAGTTTTGACACAATTCTTCTGTTTTTATGTTTTTCCTTCACTAAAAGAGATTACTCCCTTGAAACAGGTGGAGCTTTGTGATGATGATGAGTTTCTTGTTTTAGCATGTGATGGAATTTGGTTAGTTACTTCCTGGTCTAAATTTTATACACAGTTTTTAGTGAAAGACTTGATCACATTGCCATTTTTTAATTTATTTCTTTCCCATATAACTTAGGCATCCTTGTGTGAACATAATCATGAAGAAAATTGAGAGGAAAAAATATTCTTCTTCTTGTTTCTTGATGAATGATTTACACATATATATACAAATCTACTACTTCTAACAGCCTAACAAATTTTGGAGAAATTCTAACAAAATTCTAGTTTGAAGAAGAAATTTATTGGTGATAACCTCCATGTACAGCACATAACAACTATAAATAACCATATTTAATCCTAATTTATTCTTCTAATTATTTTATTTTCTACACTCCCCCTCAATTTAGTTTACGTATATGTTAAGTAAATCTAGATTGGATATTCTATCATCAAAGGTTCTTTTGAGAAGAACTTTAGTTAGAATATCTGCGATCTGTTGATTAGTTGGAATGTGCATCAGAGTTATAATCCCATCTTCCAATTTTTCTCTAATGAAATGACGATCAATCACCACATGTTTGGTTCTATCACGATGTACTGGATTTTTAGGCATACTAATTGTTGATTGGTTGTCGCACCACACTTTCATAGGCTTATTGTTGAAGACCTTTAATTCTTCAAGTATTCTCTTCAACCATACACCTTCACAAATACCATGAGCAAGCGCTCTAAATTCAGATTCTGCACTGATGCGAGACACAACAGACTGTTTCTTGCTTCTTCAGGTAACCAGGTTACCCCAAACATAGGTACAATATCCTAATGTAGATCTCCTGTCATCTGTAGAACCTGCCCAATCCACATTCGTGTAGATTTCAACATCCCTTCTGTCTGTCTTATGAAAGAATAAATCTTGTTCTAGAGTCTTCTTGAGATACCTTAGAATCTGATATGCAGCCCTCATGTGATCTTCAGTTGGCTGATGCATGAACTGACTTAGTGTACTTACTGCAAAACTGATGTCTGGTCTTGTGTGAGCCAAGTAAATAAGTTTTCCAACAAGTCTTTGGTATCTCCCTTTGTCAACCATTTTGTCACTGATTCTGGATCCAATTTTGATGATTGAATCTATAGGGGTGTCAGCAGGCTTGCTTCCTAGCATCCCAGTCTCTTTTAGGAGATCCAGAATGTGCTTTTGTTGAGAAACCGAAATCCTTTTTTTTTTTTTATCTAGCCACTTCCATACCGAGGAAGTACTTTAGTACCCCAAGATCTTTTATTTCAAATTCTTTGGTTAGGAATTTTTTAAGTTTTTGAATCTCCTCAAGGTGATCTCCTGTAAAAATGATATCATCAACATATACAATTAAAATAGCTTTCTTACCTAATATGCAGTGTTTGACGAACAATGTATGGTCGGATTGACATTGTTCATATCCTTTATGTTTTACAGTTCTTGTGAATCTGTCAAATCATGCCTTTGGAGATTGTTTTAGGCCATAAAGTGATTTTTTCAATTTATACACTTTTTAAGAATTGTCATTTAATTCAAACCCTGGTGATATATTCATATATACCTCTTCTTCCAAATCGCCATTAAGGAATGCATTCTTTACATCTAATTGACACAATGGCCAGTCAAAGTTAGATTCAAGTGAGAGAAGTACCCGAATAGTATTGTGATTGACAACTGGTGCAAACATCTCCTGATAGTCTACACCATATGATTGTGTATAGCCTTTGGCTACCAGGCGGGCTTTAAGTCTATTCACACTCCTATCTGGATTATATTTGGTTGTAAAGACCCATTTGCATCCCACTTGACGCTTTTCTGAAGGAAGATCAGTTAGTTCCCATGTTTCATTCTCTTCAAGTGCCTTGATCTCATCTAGGACAGCTAACTTCCATTCTGGAATTTCTAAGGCCTCATGTATTGTTCTGGGTTCAGGTGAGCTGCTGTCTATCCTGCACACAAAAACATGATGTTCCGAGGATAATTTGTCCAATGAAACATAGTCATGTATAGGATGTTTGGTGCATGTTTAAGTACCTTTCCTCAAAGCAATAGGAATATCAAAATCAACGAAATCAAGAGTTGGTACAGAGATTACATTACCTGAATCAGTGGTGGATTCATAGTAGTGTTTGGATGATTTAGGTGCTTTTCCTTTGTTTCTTCTTGTATATACACGTAGCTCACTCGTTGCAGGTAATGTGCTTTCTGTAACTGGTTTTGGTTCTTATTTCTTTTGTGAGGTTTCGGGTTTAGTCTGCAGGGAAGGTTTGTCCGATGATGGGTTTTGTGGGTAGAGAGGAGGTACACTCATATCCCACAACTGATATTCTTGAGTGAATGTCTCTCCCTGAATATCAGTAGTGGGATAAAATGGTTGATTCTAAAAAAATGTGACGTCTATGGTATTATAAAATCGGCAGGTTTCCAGAACTAGACATTTGTATCCTTTTTTATTTGTTGAGTACCCAATAAAAATACACTTTATTGCTTTTGGATCTAATTTCCCACGAAAATGTTTATGAATATGAACGTATACTAAACAATCAAAGACTTTAAGTGGCAAAGTGTTTAAGATGTGTGAATCAGAAAAGATTTTTGAGAGGATAGTGTACGGTGATTGAAACTGTAGGATACGGGAGGGCATCCGATTAATCAAATAGGTAGCTGAAAGGACAACCTTTCCCTAAAGATATTTTGGTACATGAGTGGTGAACATGAGAGATCTGGCAACCTCAAGAATATGTCTATTTTTTCTTTTGGCTTTGCCGTTTTGCTGTGGAGTATGATCACATGAACTTTGTTGAATAATATCAAGAGTATTTTCAAAATATTCACAAGTATTGTCGGATTTCAATACTTGGATGGTAGCATGAAATTGGGTTCGAATCATTGTATGGAATTTTTAAAAAAGGGATCCCACTTCAGATTTTTCCTTCATGAGAAACATCCAAGTAATTCTTGTATGGTCATCAATAAAAGATACAAACTACCTAGTTCCAGAAACGTTGGAAACCCTGGAAGGACCCCAAACATCACTGTGAATTAATGCAAATGGTTTAGACGGTTTATATGTTAGACTAGGGAATAAACTTCGAGTATGTTTAGAAAATTGGCAAACTTCACACTGTAATGATACTGGATCTTTTCCTTTAAATAGTAGTGGGAACATTTTTTTCAAGTACATGAATTTTGGATGTTCTAGTTTATAGTGCCACAACATAATATTATAGTCATTATTTTCGGAAATAGAAACAGAGTTTTCACATACTGCATTGTGAGCTTGTCTTTTAGAAGTGTTGACTTGAAGCAAAGATAATCCCGAGCTCATCCTAGCACTGCCAATCATCCTCCCTGAGTCCAAATTCTGAAAATTACACATATTAAAAACAAATTTCCCAGCACATTTCAAATCTTCACACAGCTTACTGACAGACAACAAATTACAATCCAAATTTGGAACATGGAGAACTGAACAGAGAGTCAAATTTGGAGACAAATTTACAGAGCCCATTCCTACCACTTTTGAGAGAGAATCATCTGCAATTCTGATTGAAATATTTTTTTCACATCTTCTATAATTTTGGAACATTGAGAAATCGCCACTCATATGATCAGATGCTCCAAAGTCTACCACTCACACCTATCCTTTTTCTGAAAGAACAGATAAGCCATGAATATTACCTTTGTGTGCCACAGAGGCACTGACCGGGTGAGATTTCTTAGACAAAATTCGTTTGAGAGCTTCCAATTGTTCAGGAGTAAATGGATCTTTTTCCATCTCATCATAAATTACTTCGTCAGCTATCACATGATTTCCTTGAAGCTTGCTGGTGGTCTCTGCTTTCGACGTTTTTCACTCACCCGAAGGTGGTTTCCAGTCACTTGGCTTGCCGTGAAGCTTCCAGCAACGTTTCCGAGTGTGCCCTAGCTTCCAACAGTGGTCGCATCAGGGCCTTGTCTTCTTCGTTCGACTATCAATCGCTCGGGTTGTGAGAGCCGAAGAATTTTCAGTTGGGTGAGGTTGGTCATTCTCTCCCATCATGATATTCCGACGACTCTCCTCGTGTCGAACCTCAGAGAACACTTCTTGAAGACTCGGCAAAGGTTTGGTGCTCAGAACATGTCCCCGAATCACGTCGAGATTTTTGTTTAGCCCTAGTAGGAATTTGAAGACCCGCTTTCTACCACAAAAGACATGAAGTCATTCGCGTCCTCGGGACAGTTGCAGTACCCCCCCCATCCGTATAGAAGCAAAAGACTAAGAAACAGGATACAACAGGTCAAATAAAGGTTCGAAGATCTTCTCCGGAAAGAATGGGCTGATCTAAACACAAAGAACTTAAGGTCTGGAATCAGTGGTTTCTGACATTAACAAAAGAAGAGTCTTTGTCTACAAATTTTTTTTGTTTCTTTCTTTCCAACTGACACACATAGTGACTAACAGAATTAGATAGATGAATTTTTCCTTTCCTAGCCAGCAAAAGTTCCATTCCAAGCCCAGAATGTCTAGCATATCAAACTAACAGAAATACATAATTATTCAATTTAAAACTTGTGTTCTACTTTTGATAATTGCTAGTCTAAAATGTGGGCAACGTGAAAGAAATCCAGAATGTAAAAACAATGATGTTTTTAGCTTACAGAGTTTCCGTCTGTCTCAAACATGAGAAGATACTGTTGCGTGATAAATTTGAAAGAAATTGATAATAATCTAATTTGAGCATCTGAAATTAAAAATTCGTGATCGATTGAGGATGTTAATTCTTGAGGAGACATTGAGGAGCACATTGTTGTTTCCAGATTCATTTAATAATTACTTCCTGTAAACTGAATTTGCTCAAGATGGAATTATAATTTTATTCTCTATTTTTGTTGCTCTGTGATTACCATGGTATTATTTCTATTTTTTCAGATGGGCTTGTGATTACCATGATATTAGTCTACAGGATAGATCTCTTATAAATTGTTTCCTTCTTTTTGAAGGTTTGACGTGGATGTTCCTGGAGGAAGATCATACAAGGAAAGCAGCTTCACAGTAGCAGGTACACCTTTTCTCTGTCCAACACCAAGATAAATGGTTTTCTTGCATAAGAAAAAGTTTTAGCTTTTTACTCATGGTTGTTTGGCTTCCGTCCATGGCTTCTGTTAAGTATATAAAATCATTTTTTTTGTCACACCGGTTCCTCACCTAGATTTTGTCAGATCCATGTCAAGGTAAAGAATCTCCAATGGAGAATAACTCTTTCTGGTTAGAACTTGACTAATATCCCTTTTTCCTTTTCTCAAAGGAAATTATATGCATTAATATGTTCAGCCCAGCATCAAAACCATGTGTTTGATACTTCATTTTCATTTCTGCTTTAGGGAGCCCACCACTGCTCTCACCCTGAGCCCTAGAGGGACCTTAATATTTTGGTAATTAAATTATTTATGCTTTAGGGACGGATGTTGTTGCAGTAGACAGTCCCATCCGGACGCTTGGGCCTGACAGTCTGCTATGATTTGAGATTCCCAGAGCTTTACCAACAGCTTAGATTCAATCACGGAGTACATGTATAATTGGATTTCTCGCATTTTATAGCACAATTGATTATCTCAACTTCAAGTCTATGGATTTACAATCTGCAGGTTCTGTTGGTACTTCGGCTTTTACCAAAGTAACTGGTGAAGCACATTGGGAGATTCTTCTTCGTGCTCGTGCAATTGAGACTCAATGCTATGTATGAAATCCATTTTTTAAATAATTCAGCTTGACTTGATTACTCTTCAGTGTTAACTCCCACTTATGTGGATGGCTATGAACTATCTCCTTCATGCAAATCACGGGTTTTCAATAAATAACTCAAACTCTATTGACTGACTAATGTTATATGCTACTGTTTATGCAAACTCTGTATCCTCTCATCCCAAGATTGAAATGACAAATCAACTGCCAGGTAATTGCTGCGGCACAAGCAGGAAAACATAATGATAAAAGAGAAAGCTATGGAGACACACTAATAATTGATCCATGGGGAACAGTAGTTGGCCGATTACCTGGTGCGAACTAGTTAGGATGTCTACTAGTTCACATGACTATTTTTAAGAAGCAAGAGCTTGTCTTATTTAAGAATATAAAAGGGATAGAAATACAATTAATTCAAATTTATATATTATTATATAATCCTTTTACATGCTTATAATACATTGCAGACAAGTTAAGTGAAAACTGCTTTCTGTCTTTGGCTTTGTACTTTTACAGATCGACTTTCGACAGGGATTGCAGTAGCTGATATTGATTTCTCGTTGATTGACTCAGTGAGGACAAAAATGCCAATTTCCAAGTAAGTTTTATGGTATTTGAGGAAGTCTCCTGAAATATTGAGGTAACTGACAGTTAGCTCTGGGACGCAGTATTTTGGTGACTATAGTCCAGGTATCTCCCAATTACCTAGTACTAGTTTGAGCATGGACGTTGCAAGGTCTCTGCTCCACATATTTAAACCAAAATGCAGTAATACCTTGGTATTTGACCAGTATTTATTTCTTAATACTTCTCCATGCTCCATAGTTGATATCCTGTGCAGAGATGTCCGGGCTGTGCCTAATTGCCATTAAACATTCATTTA